CCCCAAAACCCCAAAAACCCCAAAACCCCAAAACCCCAAAACCCCAGCTTAGTTTTTCCAGATTGATAATTTAATTTAAAAATGTCTTTCTCTCAACTTGCCAGGGTGGGCTACCAATACAAGAAGAAGCCTAAAACATGAAAGAATATAAAATTGCAAAAGAAGAAACAGCTTACTAAGGATATCACTGCCAGAATTCTTACTGACCGAATCAATACAGTAGTTGAAGATCCTGAGGAGTCGTTTGAAGAGGATACAATTGAATTTGATAATGAAACAATCGGTAGAAAATCAGTGCATGAATACAAAGCTTCTATCCACAAGAACCCATTGTCCCAAAGTAACCTCATGTTTTATATGTAGCTGACAAAATTGGGGATTTTAAAGAGAAGGAAAATTTAAAAACGAGGAATTTTGACGCAAGCTACAACCAGAATAAGGTAAAATCTAACGTATAGTAAGATTTAGGCGAAGTCAACGACTAATTTAGTATCTAAAGACTCAATCACACATTTCAGAATTGCAACATCTATTGGAAATAGTGATGGTATTGACCAACATTTGATGGACGAGGATTTCAAATCTATTGATGATGATTCTCAAGAAAAGCCTTTGTCTAAAGCAGGTTGTACTGGCCTCCTCAGGACTTATGATAGCTGAGAGAATACCCTCAATAGAGATCTTATCAAGCAGAAATGTATTGAAAGTTTAAAATAATGATTTAAAGCACCACAATAGACAGAAGAGGAAGAAGATCAACTCTTCCAATGTTGTTGAGAGGTTAGAGCTAAGACATATTGACAAGAAGAATAGACTTATTGAAGTAAGCTCACTGCATAACACTAGAAATAAATCTCAGTATGATCAAGAGGAATTGCTACAATTGAGGGAGAAACCGCAGATTAACAATAATTCAAAATCTCTCGTTCACAAAACTAGGCAGAAAAGTAAATGCAAGAAGTGAGGGTTTCCTAATATTCTAGGCCTGCATACCTTAAAAGCTCAGACTCCTACAAAGAGAATCTTAAGGATAGGATCATGACCTCAGAGCAGATGAAATTACAGCGCGAGATGTCAGAAATGACACTCCATCCAAAAATAAATAAAAAGTCAAAGAACTTAAAAAGAGGCATTGATGATTTATACAATTGGAAAAACAGGAAGAATAAAGAGAATGAGATTAAGAGAGATCAGTATAAGACAGAAACTTCAAAGACGCTCTCTAAAATCCAGTCAGTGAAACTAATCGATTCTAACTCCGAGATGATCGCAGCCCGATGTAGAAACAATGGAGAGAAAATTGAGGACAAACTCCTTCGAGATGGAATCCGTTTGAAGCAGAAACATCTGAAACTTTTAGAAGAAAACAGCAGAGCTGAGATGTTGGTTTGATCTCCTCGGATTGAGCCCAAGAAGAAGTCTGATTATAAGAAGATTTTGTATCCTCCAAAGACCATGCCTGATAATCCAAATTTTGACTTAGAAGAGATTTCACAAATTCAGAGCAGACAATATGTGATCAGTAGATTGTTTAGGGAAAGAAAAAAGTTTGTGTATATATAACTGATATAACTACTTCTTTTCAATTTTGGTCTGCGGAAACGGGGTTTTGGGGTTTTGGGGTTTTGGGGTTTTGGGGTTTTGGGGTTTTGGGG